CACAATTAAAGTACCAGTGAGGAAAAACAGATGCTGGTCATTATTATCACGTCGTTTTCAACCGTATGCTAATTGCCTTCTCTGGCAGATCCCACTACATGGTATCTCTTCTACACTAGCCTTATGTCTCCCCACCCCCCTTTCTCCTCTTTTGGTCTTATTACTTATTACCGTGCATTGTTGTTTCAACATCTGCCACTCCCATGTGGGCATGTTAAGGGAACCATACGAGAAAGTCACATCCATTGTGAACAGATCCACTGCAAACAAACTTCCCCGAGGAGACTAAAGAGAGGGAAAAGATCACTCTACAGAGAGGAGGGTCTCTCTTTGAATTCAGAGGCAGAAAGGAATGATTGGTCAGCGCTGAATAGATTGACAGTTGCCCATACCCAGAAAAGACCCTCCCAGCCAGACCTATTAGAGGCAGCATTCAAGATTGTAAAAACTCTAACATAAATGCTAACCACAAATAAGTCCTAAGCCCAGTGGAGAACAGGTCCCAAGACAATTCCTCAGCAATGCAGCCACACTGGCACCATAGATCAGGGAGCCAAATCCATAGCTCTTCTGTTGCCAATAATTATTGGTAGACAGATTGTCCTCATGCACCCCTATACTGGAGATTTTCTTAAGGGGCTTTGTTTATATGAGTGTTAATTGGATGTTTCTGACCAGGAGGCTCCCACCAGACATCAGTTTCAAATAGGAAGCACCATAGCACTAAACTTCACACGCTGGAACAAAGCAATACTAAAAGTAAACCATACTTTCAGGAGAGGAAGGAAAGATGTTGAAAGTCATGGACGATGTCTCTGTACTAACCAAGACAAGCAGGAACAACATCAATAAGTTTAGAAGGAACCAAATACATTAAGGACAGTGGTTCCGAGCCTTGGTTAACCCAGATGTTCTTGGACTGTAAGAACATCTAGGTTACCCAAGGTTGGGAACCACAGATTAAGGAAAACAAATGCTCTTTCTGGAAGACCTCTGAGACAGAAATGGTCTCTCACTGTCTCAAATGACTGTTATCAAAGGGTTACCAAAATAATCTTGCAACCCAAAGGTTTGAGATAATCATGCCTCTCATGTTTGTCAGAGCAGTGTCCATGCAATGTGTAACAAAGGACCTCTCTAGGGTGTCCACATGTTTTCATTTTAGGAAGAAGAGTCCTCCGAGGGAGAGGCTTGCAGGCAACAATCCTTCTTTTGAAGATCCATCCATCTGACATCTTATTTAAAGACAAAGAGCCATGAAGGAGAGCGATAAGGGACTTTGAAGTTACCCGTCCATAGTGAGCATCTGGGAAGCAGATTTGGCGGGATATAAATAATCTGTATTTGAAAAAGTTAATTGCAACCCACAAAGGTTTACGTGGAAATAAATGCATTTGTCTTAAAGGTAGCACAGTCCTTTTGATGATTTTTAATATTGTTGCTGAAACAGACTGACACAGGTACCTCTTTGAAAATAAGTCCAATATACCGTCTTCTCCACCTAAATGACATGCTCTGTAATCCTATTTAAATTATAACAATAGTTTCTAATTAGCATATGCTAATTTATGGTAACAGTGCCCTCTTTTATCCTCCTTTTGACTGACCATGCCTTCCATTTTTGGTAATATATAACTGGCCACTCTAATCCCCTCCCATTACATTAGCTGTGGCTGAAGTGATATGTAATAAAGGACAATTCCTTTACATGAAGGTTGGCTTTTAAAACAAGGGACATCTGGCAAGCCTACTGGGGAATCTCTCCTGCTGTAATAATCATCCTTTGTCCAGGCAGTATTGTTGCCCATCGTGTGTGTGCAAGGGGATTTACAGCCGTAAATGAGACTTTCACTCTTCTTACAAACCTGGTGTTGCCTGTAATATTTTTTTTCCTCTTCTTTTCCTTTTGAAAACGTTCTCTTTCAAAAATAAACTAAAAAAAACAGTTAATTTAGATTTTTGTTTGTCATGGATGCATTGTGAGCAAAAAAACAACAAACAAGCATCGTGATCCATTACAGAAAATGATTCACCAAATGCTTTGACATATAATTAACAAGCTGGCCGATGCCTGGCTTCTAAAACGTTCCAGAGAGGTGGCTGTGTCTGTCGCACTGATGCAATCAAAACAAAAACCAGAAATAAAAAAAAACACTCTGACTGTCCAATCTTAACAACATTTACTTGCCAGAAAGCCTTACTTGGGTTAACTGTCAGTAATTATTATCTGAGAGGAAACCCAGCGAACTCACTGGGACTTCTTAATGTATGTCATGCATTAAGTACAGGCAGGAAAATCTGGTTATGCTTCCTCTCCCATTGAAGTTGTTTCAGCTTCAACTTATTTCTGCACCATGTATAGAGACATTTATTTATTATTTATTTGTTTTAAATATTTTACCCAGCCTTTCTCCTTAAAAGGGACCCAAGGTGGCTTACATTCTTAAAAGACAATATTTAAAGGTTAAAAAAAAGAATCGTCATACAAATGCTAAAAAGGATCAAACAGATATCACTCCAAGAAGTGGTAAACAAAAGCAATAATAAAAACACATTCAAAACAGCAAAACACAACAATCCCATTTTTAAAACCCCACTCAGGCAACCAGTCCTCATGTTGGCAGATTATTCTAAACTGAGCGGTGGTCACATTCTCCACCATTGAAATTCACCAAATTTAGTCGCTGAAATTGCACATTGACAAGTTTGTAATGAGAAGCAGCAGAAGTGGCAGAAAAAAAATTGCAGCAATTCAGAAGACGCAGGTTGTGAAATGAACCACACGATCAATTGTGCAATGCTGGGTGTTAAGTGCCCAGCGCGTAAAGACACGTTAAATTAAATTTAAGAATATCAACCAGTAAGTAGAACAGCTCTATGGAGAGGACCTGATTGTATCTGAGAAGCCACGATCGTTTATTAAAGATGAGGAGCTGCCGAGAAAAGAGGTGGGACTCTAAATTCGGTACTAATATTAGTGAAAAAAACAGAATTAAAAAGAATTGAAACTCAGATATTAAAGTACCCTGGGTAGACAAATCTCTTCGCTGGAAGAACGAGTCTTTAATTTTGCATTCCGCCTCTAGTCGGATTATTTTAATCTCAAATTCTTTCCCATCGGAATATGAAAAATATACATATGCATGGATTGTACACGCCGTGTGGCTTGCTTCAGATTATGTTTGAAGAGATTTATTGCAATTATTTATAAGCCACTTTTCAGGATACAGATTTTCCCAGCAGTAACAATGGGATAATAAAATATTTTAAATAAAGAGAAAAATATGCTTAATGAAAGGGTCCTCTGTGGTCGCAGGACTGTTGTGTGGGCCTGGTGGGGTAAGGGGTATCCGATATGAAAATTGAGAAAAGAGGTGGGACTCTAAATTCGGTACTAATATTAGTGAAAAAAACAGAATTAAAAAGAATTGAAACTCAGATATTAAAGTACCCTGGGTAGACAAATCTCTTCGCTGGAAGAACGAGTCTTTAATTTTGCATTCCGCCTCTAGTCGGATTATTTTAATCTCAAATTCTTTCCCATCGGAATATGAAAAATATACATATGCATGGATTTTACACACCGTGTGGCTTGCTTCAGATTATGTTTGAGGAGATTTATTGCAATTATTTATAAGCTACTTTTCAGGATACAGATTTTCCCAGCAGTAACAATGGGATAATAAAAAGGACAATAAAATATTTTAAATAAAGAGAAAAATATGATTAATGAAAGCATCCTCTGCGGTCGCAGATGACGGTTGTGTGGGCCTGGTGAGGTTAAGGGTAGCCGATATGAAAATTTGGGGGGGGGCACTTCAAAGACTTCACACCTGATCCAATTATCTGTTCCTCAGGTGTAAATTGCATTGTCCCAGGGAAGGAACCCTAGGACCACAGTCTTACTGTGATCTAAGTTTTTGTGTACCCAAATCCCCATCACATCAGATGCTTTATCAGTATTTATAATAAATCTCATAACTGCTCAAGCATCTGAAGAGAGTTCTATTTTATGAAAGCACAAGACATAAAAAATATTTCAGCATGGAAGGAGCAACAAAACTCGTTTATTGAGGTGCCACCCTTAAGAGGGCTGGGAGTGAACCTGGGTTTTCCCCAAACGGGGAACAGTTATTATTTTGGACTACAACACCCAGAATTCCCCAGCAAGCATGCCTAGTCACAGTTATTATTTTGGACTACAACACCCAGGATTCCCCAGCAAGCATGCCTAGTGACCCTGCTAGCTGAGGGATTCTGGGAGTTGCAGTCCAAAAAAAAAGAGGTCTCGATTCCCACGTTCTAGATTCTAGTCACCCTAACACCATGTGTGCTCGCTGCCTTTCACGCAGTGAGGGATTCTGGGAGTTGCAGTCCAAAAAGAGAGAGATCTCGATTCCCACGTTCTAGATTCTAGCCACACCATGTGTGCTTGCTGCCTTCACCCTATCTGGCTGGCCTCCCTCACAGGGCTGTTAGGAAGGTTAAGTGAGGTACAGAGAGGCACATCTGTCACCTCGTGAGGAAACGGATGTCTTGATTTGCCCCCCCAATGCCGTCACATTACAGATCTATGCCAACCCGCGCAAGCCTCCTGCCCTCAAACTGTGGTTACTCTAACCCCCCAACCTGCAATAGCAGCCTCTCCCTATATACATGGATATGCAGACACTACCATTCCCAGCATGCTTTGCGCTCACTCGCTCATTGGCACCCGTGAGCCGAGTCGGCGCGCTGCATGCCGGGACAAAGAGTCCATTCCCTCCCTTCCTTGCGCAAGGGCCTCGATGGCGAGGCGAGGCGTACGACTTTTTTGCATACCTTTTTCTCCCCACCCCCATTTTCTCTCCTTTCCCCGCCCTTTGCCTTTTTCCTCGCTCCCGATAGGTCGCCTCCACTGGACGGGGGCGGGAACAAACGGGACGAGGGAGCAAGGTATAGGAAAGGCTCCGGGATGGACGTGAGCGGAGGCCAATCGCTGGGTTGCGGTGTTGTCGCTGGGCGGGAGGCCAGTTTGGGCGGGGGAAGGCAGGCCTGTGGCGCTCGACTTCTGGTCCCAAGCGCGGAGCGGAGGGGCCGCCGCGACCCTGAGGAGAAAGACCGGCCGCCGGGCGCCTCTGTCCCCGGAGCGAGCGAGACGAGGAGGTGAGCTTCCCGTCGGGACGGCGTCGCCTTCGGGCCCCTTGGCTTGCTTCCGGCCGCCGCTTTTTACCTCACAGCCCCCTCTCCCCGGTGCCTGAGAGGAACGGAGGGAGAACGACGTTCCTTTCCCCCTCGTTCCTCTCGGCGGAGCCACGCCTCGGGAGTTTCTCCCCTGAAGCCCCTTCTCCCCTTTTTTCCCTCCCGCCTCCGCTTGCCCGCCTTGAACCTCCTCGGAAGCCCTCAGTCATGGAGGCCCTGCTTCCTTCTCGGATCGAGAGAGCGGATTCATGGCTTGCTTCGCCTTCACTCTCTCTTCTCCGCCCCGCTTCCTCCACTCCCCTTCGCTTTTCCTCATCAGACCTCCCGAGTGGGCGCTCTTGACTCGTGTCAGGGGGCGTTCAGACGTGCATGTGTGACACGCGGGGGCACCCTTTCCCCTGCGAAGGGAGGCGCGCGCCTCTCCCCCGTTGGTTGGTTGGTTGATTTCCCCTTCTCTTGCTCGTGAGGAGCAAAGGTGCCTGAATCTGGTTCTTGACCCGATTTGCTAGCGTGCTTGGCTTTCGTGTGAACGCCACCTCCCCTCGGAGAAGAAATAAACGCAGGCACGCCTCCTTCCCTTCCCCGGTGGATGCTCAAGCAATAAATCAGGGCAGCCTTTCAACTTCTTTATATACTTGGGGTTTGGGGGATTTATTTTTATTTTTCTTTTATTTTTCTTCTTTTTTTGCCCTTGCCCCCCTAAACCTGGGACTCAAAGCAGTCTCCTAACAAGATTGGTTACAAGGGGTTATGGATTAAAATAGAAGAAAAATAATATTAAAGCACAATTGAAGCAAAAGCACATCAGTTTAATAATAAAAATAAAAATAATAAATAAAAGGACAGTGCCCACCCCATTGAAAGCCCTTCCTTCAGTATCCAGTCAGTTGTCAAAAGCCTTGGCGAAGAGGGAGGGAAGGAGGGAGGGTCCCGCCAGCATTTAGAAAGAAGTTCACAGCCTGGGAAGGATTCCTGAAGAACCCCACTCAGCTCCAGACATTTCCTTTGGAGGTCTTCCAGTGGGCTAAAATGGGGGGAGAAAGCCCTGCCTCTGGTTGCTAGATTTGGGGGGGACTCTGTGTACGGGAGGCACCATTACATTTGATTTTACAGTTCTGGAGTGGCTGTGCAGGTGTGAACGCCACCACAGGAATATGCTTGCTGGCGGTGGTGCCGCTGGTGGAAACCACCAGGAGAGTGACAGTGGTGTCGTGGCCAAGAACTGGAAGTGCCTGGTGCCAATTTTGCCTCTCTGCAGAGAGAACCCAGCAGGTAGCCTTAGGCAATCCAGCTCCCTCGGCCTCCATCCTTTGATGATGGGAAATAATAATTCCAGCATGACACAAGATGATAGGGTGCCTGGGCCCCTCTTTGACTTCTTCCTTGGGGTCAGGCACTATGAAGTTGATTTCTGTAATGATTCCCTATAAATCTTTTATTTGACTATCGTATCTTCCCTTTCCCTTATTCTCTGCACCTGGACTATTTCTGGACTGCCACTAAATTGTGCCAGATTCATGCTAGCAGCAGCTGACAGGCTGGAACCTTCTCTCTTTTTAAAAATGCATATACATTAAAAAAGCTGAGTCAGGAGAGTTCTTCACTTATTATTGTCTATTCTTTAACTGAATGGTTAAAAAGGTTAGAGTTGATACTGGATCTTTTTTAATGAATTGCCTTGGCTTCACTTTGCCTCCCTTCCTGAGGCTTGACTTAAATGTCTAGTATCTTGGGCATCATTCTAGTGTGACCCTCCTCTTCTGATATTCTTTCAGGCGCTATAGCTTTACATTTCCGTCTGTATCTCTCTTTTTCCAATTCCTGGACTTCTCTATGGCATGATGCACATATTCACACTCTTTTGCTCTTTGCTAATCAATTTTCAGCCCACCTGCTCCTTCTGTAGTTGTAGTGACTGACAGAAAACATAATTGACAATTCTCAGTAATCCTACACCAAAAAGGCCAGAGCCATTTGACTTTTTTACTAATGTTTATTATTTAATAAGTCTGAAAATGATTAATAGAATATTTTTTAGTATAATTTGTGTCAAGCAAACCAGTTGCCCCTCTGCTGTTTGCCCATTTTGGGAATATTTTGCTCTTAAGTTAAGTGAGGGCTTTGAGTGACCTATAGAAAATGGGGCATAGCTGCATCTTTGAAACAGGGTTGTAGAATGATGAAATCTACAGTGAAGTGGAAATAGTGGTATTGAAGGGATGTTTTAGGAATTTTAACTACTGATCATTGACCAGATATGTTAAATGTATGCTCTTGATTAATATTAAGAGATCATGAGAAGGGCTGAGGAAAGATACAAGATATCTTTTTTACTTCTGTGTGTACGAATTTCAATTAAGTATTTCACGAAGAGACAAATCTATTGATTTAAGAATAATATCTTATTTTACCTCAGGAGGTATGCTTGTACATGGTTGTAGAGGTGTGCAACCTGATGCCCTCCAGATGACTTGGACTACAGCTTCTATAATCAAAGGTTAGGGATTAAGAGATTGGTAGCCCAAAGGATCTGGAGTACATTAGGTTGTCTGTCACGTATCAGAAGCATCCCTTTCATGCTAGATGAACCCATTATTTGTAAAAGTATTTGTGCAGTCATCAGCCTCTCCACTTCCCCACAATGTGTGTCTGTCTGATTCTACAGCTGTTGCTCTTGGTTGTTGGCATTTTGCAGCTCAGAGAATTTAAAACTGCATTTCGCACCATCTAAACAAACAGGTTGAAAACACACACAGTAAGTGGGCCATCTTTTATTTCTCCTCCCCTTCAGGATCCTGCATCTTTTGACAGAAGATTATTCACAAAGGATGGGAAGCTTTCTGTGAGAAGAATCATTCTCCTTTGCTTTGTGCCTGCTTTTCAAAGGACACAACTGCACTAATTCTCCCAAGATTGCCTCTGAAGGTTTGGAATCCTACTCATCTCTCAGTCTGGCTGTGTGTTTGGTATGCGGATTGTACCTCTTCACTGATGAGAGGGAGAATGGGAACCCAGGGCAGCCCTGTGAAGAGCTATGATTATCTGCTCAAATTCTTGTTGGTGGGAGACAGTGATGTGGGCAAGGGAGAGATCCTGGAGAGCCTTCAAGATGGAGCATCAGAATCACCTTATGCCTACAGCAACGGTAAGCATTTTGGATAACAATACTTCATTCAATATCTTGTACTAATTATGGGTATTGATTCCTTCATTTACAGAATTTAGTTACGTAGTGTGTTTTAAATGTCCTGAGAAATAATACTTTGCAGAAAATGGTTAGGATTCAAGCAGTTCAATGCATGCCAGATCTTTTAAGCTATCTGTTCTGCTTTACATTAGGTTGATATTTTGTATGTGTGTAGAGAATAGTTCAACTCTCCTGTGTCAAGTTAGTGTAAAGGTTGTGACTCTTAGTCCTAAAAGTTCTTGTGAAAATCTTGCTCCCAGTATTATGTGTGCAAAATGATTGATAATATGCTGTACTTTCCTACGTTCAGTTACTATAGTGGATTCTGTGGTGATAAGGCAAGTCAGAAGCACTACCGCTCTGTGTTTTCCAGATTTGAAATGGTGAGGAAAGAGGAGTGAAGTCCAGATTTTTAATACAAGAAACAGCCAGATTTAATTTATATTTCTAACTTGAACCCAAGGATTACAAAAATGGGTCTGGCTCATTTCTACAAATATAGCTTTTTTCTTTCTTTAATGAAAAGCCTGTCAGAGTCTTAACAATAGTGTCAGAAGACTATAATTAAGATCCAAGCTGAAGTGCTACACTTTCCCCTGCTTCTCTCATGGTAGTTAAGTGTAATGCTGCCTGGCAGGGTCTGTATCCTGGGGTGATTTGCAATCTGTCATAGCTCTAGCCATCTTAAACTCAGAGTTATGACCCTTAGGTTTGACAGCAGAAAGCAGGTTTTAAAGTAGCTTTGGACTTGGGCCTTGAACGCTTGGCACCTGATGCCGATTTTGAAAGGAAATGTCAGTGAAGCTCAAAATAGATATGATTAGAAGAAAACCTGTTTGTTTAAACATTCAAGTCACATACTGTATAAAGCGAGGGTGTGGTGTTCGCATTTCGAATAAAATGAATGCATGAGGACTGACTCATTACCCTTTGCAACATTTCTCCCTCTCTCTCGTGTTTCCATTCAAGCTCATTTCTAATATTGCGAACTGCCAGAGAAACCATTTGTAAAGACAAATTAAAAGGGTGGATGAATGGCAGGAGTGACCAGCACCCTGAATAAATACATCTTTGCTTTTAAAAAATCAGACTATTCTATGTGTTAGGTGTCATTGCAACAGACTTGGTTAAAGCAGCTGTCTTACTGCCACCAAATTTAATTTAAGCCTCTGAATTTTGTAGCGATTTCACCTTCAGATGCTCAGAGTACTTGCTGACCTTTAGGACCAAAATTTACTCTTCCAGTTGCTACCTAAGTACTGTGGGTGGAAATATTGGTGCAAGGGAAGAAGGCAGGGCTTTGTAGAACTGCATTCACTGATCAGTTGGGAGTGGACCAAAAACTTAATGCTAAACACATCTTAACAGTGTACTTGAAATGTTGTTTCTGAAAAGTCCAGTTCCAGTAGAAAGCTCCCTTGGCTGTTAATGACAGCATTTATTCAGTTTTTATAAAATGTTAACAAAAGCAGCTTTAAGAAGCTAATAGCTCTAGCCAAGCCAAAATCACTAAATGGATCAGTAGCTGTCCAGCATTCTGGAAGGTCTACAGAACAGAAACATATTTTAAAAGTTACCAAGAAATGGCCTTAAAAATAATTTTTTGACAGGAACTGAGCATCTGCAATACATATAAAATTCCGTGGGAGATTATCATTCCATTTATCTCATTTTTATGCTACTTTTCTCCTGATGAAGGCACTCAAGCCACTCACAGATTATTACAAAGCAAGCCGAGTAAAAACTTAATGGCTGAAATCCTGTTGGTGCAACTATTCCCATGGAAGACTGATGACATCCTCAACAGGAAGTGATTTTTGGGAATTACACACTTCCTACTTCTATCCCATGGCTCCGCGTAATCCATTCATTATTTAGGAGCCAAGAGATGACAAGAGGACTGATTTAATTTTAAAAAAATAACCACCACAAGGAAGATATTACTGCCAGGGCTAATTATGGGGTAATCCCCAAATCAAAATTCTTCATTCTCCAATGCAGTGGTTAAAATCCTGTCTAAAAAGGGAAGGCCTGTACCTGTCTCCTGAAGTTCAGGTGGGAGGAGGCAAACCTAGCCTTGTTGGGGAGAGCATTTCACAACTTGGGACCAAGCACGGAAAAGGCCCTCTCTTGCATCCTTACAGGATGTGCTTGTGAATGCCTAGGACTGAAAGAAGGGCCTCCCTTGAAAAATATAAGAGCCAGAGAGGCTCATACAGGGGGTTAGTCTGGACCAAAGCTTTAGCACTTTTTGTTGACCTGGAAACAGATTGGGAGCTAGTGAAGCTGATCTACCAAGGGAATTACATGCTGTATGTAACCAGTCCTGGTCAAAAGTCTGGATGCCTCATTTTGGACCAGATGATGTCTCTGGACACTCTTGACACTCTCATGGCACTCAAAGGGAGCCCCATGTAGAGTGCATTGCACTAATCTAAGTGGGATGAATTCAGGCATGTGTCACTGTAGCCAAATCAGACATCTCTATGAGCAGGTGCAGCTTATTTATTCATTTAAAATATTTTATCCCACCTTTTTCCTTAAAAAGAACTATTTTGAACTGCGCAAGCACTCTCTTGGCTGGCAAACCTGGACATCCAAGTTCAGGTATGAGTCCAGAAGTACTCCTAAACTGCGAACAAGAGATTTGTGAAAGAATGTAACCCCATCCAGCACAGTTGTCTCCCTCTTCCCTTACCTGCCGTTTGATCAGTTTGGAGCACCTCTGTCTTGTATCGATTAAGCTTCAATCTGTTTGCCTTCATCCAGTTCATGACCGATATCAGACACTAGTTTATAACCAAAACAACCTCCTCCTAGATGGAAAAGATAAGTAGAGTTTGGTGTCATGAACATACTGATGGCACCAAACCTCACAATTCCACATAGCTTCATGTACTGTATATGTTAAATAGCAGAGGGGACGGAACAAAACTGTGAGGGGCTTGGATTCCTGCACTGAGCGGAGGGGTTGGACTCGATAGCCTAATAAGCCCCTTCCAATTCCATTATTCAATGATTCTATGACCCCATAGGCCAGTGGCCAGGATGTCAAATATTGAGTCCTCCCAGCATCACCTTCTTAGCTCATCTCTCCAGGAAGGACTAGAGCAACTTATAAAAGAATGCCTGTCGCCCTAGAGAAATGGCCCAGAAGGATACAATGGTCAATGGTATCAAAAGCCTCTAAGAGATCTAGTAGAAAAAAGAGTGAAACCCTCCCCTTGTCCAAGTCTTGGGCCAGGTCATCCACCATGGGAATCAAAAAAGAGTGAAACCCTCCCCTTGTCCAATTCTTGGGCCAGAAAGCCATCTCTGTCCCACAGCCAGGCCTGATGCCAGATTGAAATGGATGTAAATAATCTGTTTGCTCCAGGAACTTCTGGAGTTAAGAAGCCATTACACGCTCCCCAAACTTTGTCCCAAAATGAGATATTTAATACTGGCCAGTAGTTGTCCAGTACAATGGAATTCAAGGATGGCTTTTTCAGCAATAGCCTTACTACAGCCTCTTAGGCATGTGGGAACTCTACCTTATTGCAAGGAGGCATTCACATTTCCCTTCAACACCTCAGCCCTCCCCTGCTTGCTTTTATGAGCCAGAAGGGGCAAGGATACAACACATTCATGATGTCTTTCACTTTTTCAGGAATCCTGCCCACATCCTTGGTCTGTATCCACTGAAACCAATTTATTCTCACACTACAGCCTCTTAGGCATGTGGGAACTCTACCTTATTGCAAGGAGGCATTCACATTTCCCTTCAACACCTCAGCCCTCCCCTGCTTGCTTTTATGAGCCAGAAGGGGCAAGGATACAACACATTCATGATGTCTTTCACTTTTTCAGGAATCCTGCCCACATCCTTGGTCTGTATCCACTGAAACCAATTTATTCTCACAGGAAAAGAGTCTTTCACTTTTTCAGGAATCCTGCCCACTGAAACAAATTTATTCTCATAGGAAAAGAAGGGGCCGAAGTTACATTCACAGGACTTGTGTCCACTCTAGCATATAAGTCAGAGCAAATTTGAATGACTTTGAGCTGTCAAGTATTCATCTGTTCTTGTAGGCAAGCATATGAGGTGTCCTTGACAACGTGAAAAAGCTCTGCTGAGTGGTTCTGAGCAGATCCTGTGCTGCCACTGCCACAGAGAATGCCTTCCAATGAGTTGTAACTCATGTTTGGTTGGATCAACTTTGAGATTTCCACCGTTTCCGTGTTGGTCTCTGTCCTGCTTGTGTTTTTCGCTAGCAACTCCACTCGCATCAGAGGTGACACTGATTGTGTCCATAGACCTCATTTTTCCCCATTCACTCCACTCGCATCAGAGGTGACACTGATTTCCATAGACCTCATTTTCCCCCGTTTCAAAGGCTAAATTCTTCAGCAGAATCACCTGCTGTGGAAACAGGAAACTCCCCAAGAGCTGTTAGGAAGACATTTGGATCCATAAGCCTCCTGGGGTGGGCCATCTTAATCACTTTCTGCTTATGTTTCATATTTTGAGAGATAGTTTTAGTGCCACCTACATCAGGAAATGTGATGAATCATTAGCTGGGAAGTCTTTGCCTTTTTTCATGCATGCAATCCTACACCTCTAACACAAACACAGTTAAACCTCCTTATCTTCTCCTGACTTATCTATGTTGCTGCTGTTTTATATATTAGCTATATGAGTAGCTTGATTCTGTTTAATTTTTTTATAGTGCTTGGGGGAATGTACTGCATATCAAAGGTAAATATTAATATCGATTAAAACAGACAAGGACTGTTTTATTTTTGAACAGCTAGTGTACTTGGGGTGGTTTTATTCAGCAGATTTGGGCTTCTGAACTTTGGGTTGGATTCAGTTCTCTTAAAAAAAAAAAACCGCCAGCATTCTTATCCTTCTCTGAATCTTCTGTATTATCACTAGAGAAAAGAATTGGCAAAACTTTGGCCTACTAAGGAAGAGC